TCTCCTTCCTGTATGCCTATGATTCGTAAGTTTGGTCTTTTTATGGTGTCACACAGTTCCTGCGTATTCCATTCTGGTGATTTCTTAATTTTTTCATAATCTTTGCTTGAGTGGTCTAGTTCGTCCACTTTATCTTCCAGTCTTGATACTCTGTTTTCCATTTCATTCATCCTTTTGGTGAGGCTTTCTCCTGTCGTTTCTAATTGGCTTACTGTTTCACTTCCTTCTTCATTTCAGCCTGAGTTTTCTTCAATATTTCTCTTTTCTGAATTCATTCAGAGTTTATCCCTATCTTCCTTCGGTTCTTTGATTTTTTTGTGTGTTCTTTAAATTCACTGAATTCTTTTATAATGTTTATAATTGTTCTTTTGAGTTCCATGTCCTGCATTATCCACTTTATTTTTTTAAAAAAATATTTTATTATTTTTATTTTGTGTGTATGAGGGTACCACCTACATGTATATAAATGTATCCATGTTGTGCAGTGTCCACAGAGGTCAAAAGATGGTGTCAGAATCCCTGGATCTGGAGTTATAGTTACGGACAGCTGTTAGCCCTCATGTAGGTGCTGGGATTCGAACCTGGGTCCTCTGCAAAATAACCAGTGCTCTTAACTACTGAGCCGTCTCTCTAGCTCCTTTACCTTATTTTCTGAGATAGAGTTTTCCACTGTACCTGAAGCTCATGGATTCAACAAGCCAGCTGGCCAGTGAGCTCCAGGATCTCCCTGTCTCTGCTCCTCCAGTGCTGGGGTTACAGACCCATACCACTGTGGGTGCTGGGGATCTGAGTCCAGGTTGTCATTCTTGCCTGGCAGGCATTTCACCAACTGAGCATCTTTCCAATCTTGATGGCTTTTTAACCCCCCTAAAGTCATGTCTATGATGTGCTTTGCTTTGGGGCCTGTGTCAGAGGTCAGCTCTCCTAATGTAGTCAGTGACTCCCCTTCAAAGTGGTACGCCTTGTCTAGAGCCTTTGTGTTCCCAGCACAGAGATAAAGATATAGCGAGAGGAGGGGTAGCCAGTTTTCCCAGCTGTAGGAAACTTTGCCCCTTAGATTCTCAATCCTGGTAGGTCTCCCAGGTCTCCTCATGATTGGGAGATCCAGACATACCCCTGTCCAGGCAGAGGAACAACAGCCTGAGGGTGGAGGGGGTTGCCAAGGGCTGCCAAGCATGTAGCGCAAGGCCAGAGCTTGGGTCCTACTGACAGTGCCTTTGTCTGTCTGTGACACTAAAGACTTGGTTTAGTTGTACCAGGTTCTACCCAGCTGGTTGGTTTAGTTCTACCCAGCTCTGCTGGCCTGTTGTAGGAAAATAGGCAGGAGACATGGTCTGTGATCTAACGGCAGGTAGGGCTGCTGCCTTGGAGCTGACATCAGTGACTTCTGCTCTGGCTTTTGTTTGGTGCTGTGCTGGTCCTGGGTTGGGAGGACCAGTGATGGGGGAGGCATTGTTTCTTCAGGTGAATGTGGCACTTGAATCCTGTCACTTGGTTGCACCTGTTTAGACTGGAGCTGACTCAAGTCCTTCCATGGGACCCTGGCTAAGTGAGGCTGAGGCCGGGATGGTATAGGCGAGCACGCGCTGGGCTCTCAGGGTCCCAGAGCGCACTCCTGGGCAGTGAAAGCTCCTCCGCTACTGAGGTCTACTCAGTCGATCCCGTCCCTATTTCACCCGTATACCTTCCTCAGGATGTGAGGTCCACTGGCCACTTGGACCACACGGGAAGCGTACAAGGAACATCGAAAGCCAGGGTGTCCGTGAGTCGGTGACGGAGGAATAGCGCCCCCCGGGGAGACTGGATCACAGGATTTAGTGTTACAGCTCAAGACAAGTGACTCAGCTCAGATCTCAGTGATTCAGCTCCAGCTCCAGCTCCAACTTTATTGGGGTAAAACTAGGACTATTTATAGTGAAGAGACAGCAGAAGAAGTCTTAGCTGATAGGTACTTTTAGGATGCCTCATTTACATAGGGCAGTGGGCTTCTATCAGGCTATCAGACAACGCCTGATTAAAAACCTGGTAGCTCCTGTGCCGGAGGGCATGTATTTGTGGCGAGCACTTTAAAAGAAGAGTCAGGGAGGATGCCAGGAAGGCACTCTCCTATGAAAGGAATCTGCAGCACATGGTTTCCGAGCTCGTGAGCTATCCGGACGTGAAGAGACTTCTACTTGCATAACAGAGGACCCCAACAGGATGGAATTGAAGCAGATGCGGCGTTTTGCATCCTGCATGCTCTAAGTGCTGGGTAGGTGTCACCTCCCTTCATGGACGTCATGGGAGAGGAAGGCACTATAAGACACCCCACTCTTAGCGATGAGGAAGTAGGGACTGAATGAGTAACTCCATTAGGGCAGAACTAACCTTCTAGCTCAGGCTCCCTGGCTATCCTGGTCAGAGGAGGAGGCAGGGCTGGGGAAGGGGTTGTGCGACCAGGCCTGGGATTGATGGATGTGTGTTAACCAGCAGAGCAGCCTAGCGAGTTTGAACTCCATATGGAATTCATGTTATGCTGACCTCGCCCTTCTTTCTGGGCCTTGAAGATGGCAGCCAGCATTCTTAAACTTGGGACATTTGAAGATTTGGGACTACAGCCAGGGCCTAGCAAAGTCTATAGATTAAGCAGTTCCCCAAGATTTGTCTCTCAGAGCAGAACCCCAGCCAGGGTAGTGGCCCATAACTGTCACCCCAGATGCTGGGATGTGGAGGCAGGAGGATCAGGAGTTCAAGGTCATCTTCTGCTACATAGCAAGTTTGAGACCAGCCTGGAGTACATAAGATCCTGTCTCAAAAATACCAAAATCCAAACAACAAAAAAGTAAACCCACAAGTAAAGTGAGCCTGAGACTTAGATTGCTAGCATGTCAGAGCTGAAAGGGATCTAAAACTGTGGCTTCTAGGCTGGGGAGATGGCTCCCCTGATATGGTGCTTGTGTGTGAAGACCTGAGTTCACCCTCCAGAGCCCATCAAAAACCCGGCATGGAGCTGGCATGGAGCCGGGCATGGTGGCGCATGCCTTTAGTCCTAGCACTTGGGAGGCAGAGGCAGGCAGATCTCTGTGAGTTCAAGGCCAGCCTGTTCTACATAGCAAGTTCCAGGCCAGTTGGGGCTACAGGGAGATCCTGCCTCAAAAAGACCAAAAAATAAATAACCAAAAAAACTAGGCATGGTGGTAGAGGTGGGTGGTCTCTGGGGCTCACTGGTGAGCCAGCTTAGCCGCATCCGTGAACTCCAGGGTCAGAGAGCAGCTCTGTCTCAAAGCACAAAGTGAAAGGTACCTGAGGAGCCACACACATGAACATGTACACACAAATGTGGCCTCTGTGACATCCAGGAGTTGATTCATGAGACCTTCCCTGTTCCATGCACTTTTCCTTTGCTGGCCTTGGTGGGACACAGACGTGGCTGTACGGGACAGCTGGCATGCATGGCACCGTATACATGGCTTATCATCTGTGTGTGTCATGTGCAGCTGTGCTGTCTGCCTGGGAGGCCTGGCTGCTTCCTCCTGGTCAGTTGTCGGGATAGGTCGGAGGTGGGAAGTGCTTCCTAGATCTCTCCAGACAGGTCAGGGAGGTTGTTTGTTGTAACCAGCTGCAGGGAAGCTCTTCGACCAAACTCAAGGCTCCTTGTATGTTTCCTTTTGTTTCTTTGCTTGTTTGAGACAGGGTCTCCTATGTAGCCCAGGGTGGCCTGGAACTTGATATGAAAACCAGGCTGGTCACAAACTTGCAGCAGTCCCCCAGCTTCTGCCTTGTGGGTACCATGATTGCAGGCATGCACCAACATGCCCAGCTACATTTCCATGTGTAATTCTGCCTTCTGTGGCCCAACAGAAAATACAGGCCAAAAACAACCACTAGAGAGAAGGCTTATGTGATCAAGACTGTGCTCAGAAGGCAGGCCTGCCCAGGACATGGAGTCGCTGCAGAGGGCAGGCCTGCCCAGGGCCTTGGGTGGCAGCCAGCCAGTTGTGGGATGGCAGTGTGTTGGCTCCTATCAGTGGGTAGTGACAACCAGAGGAGTTGTAAGTTCATAATGTGGGTCAGCGAGAAGGGGTCTTCACATTGATTACCATGCCCACCATGAGCACAGGACAGGTGGACACTGGGGTATTCACAACAGAGATCCCACCCGCCCAGCCTAGAGGCTGGAATGTGTACTTGGAGTTCACACTTGTGCCTTGTCAAATCCTGTCTCAGGTGGAGCTGACTGTGGAGAAGGAAGTGGCTGGCTTCTGGGTCAAGATTCCATGTGTGGAACAGATTGGCAGCTGTACCTATGAAGATGTCTGTGACCTGCTGAATAAGTTGATCCCCCCCGGGGAGACCTGCCCAGAGCCCCTGCACTCTTATGGCCTTCCCTGCCATTGTCCCTTCAAGGAAGTGAGTGCTTTGGGTGGCAGGGAGCTATAGTAAAAGGGGGTGGGGATTACATTCGGAATATTGCTGTCTGTGGGTGTGTGTAAGAATTGCTGATGTTTGGTGCGGGGCTCAGTTTACCCATCGTGAAATGGGTTGGCTATAGCTTTGCTGGGATCCCCAAGTTCTTTGTACTTATGCAGCCTGTGAAGAGGCCACAGCAGGGCTCATCTTGCCTGGCTCTTAGAATGGGAGGAGGGGCAGGTCACAGCTGTAGGCCTGTGGAGGGACCCAGGAAGAGTCCTGTCAGCTGAAGACTGCCCTGATCTGGGCTCTTTCCTTCCTGCAGGGCACCTACTCACTGCCTACGAGCAGCTTCACATTGCCTGACCTGGAGCTGCCGAGCTGGCTGAGCACCGGGAACTACCGCATCCAGAGTATCCTGAGCAGTGCCGGGCAGCGCCTGGCCTGCATCCAGGTGGCTGCCTCCCTCAGGGGTAGATAGGCAGGCAGCCACCACAGGTGTCAGCCACCTCAGATGGCGGCCATGCAGAATGCCTGGTGCTCCTCTCCCTCCTCTCCCGTGATAACACATCCCTCACTACAAATCACTGTGCACCATTCCGGTGTGAGGCTGGTACAAATCTCCTGACCTGAGGGAGGATGGGTAAAGTGGTCTGGAGAGCCCAGGTCCTCTGCTGGGCTGCAAGCCTTCTCCCCCCAACCCCCACGACTTTCATTCTAGAACAGCCAAGGCATGGGAGCCCACCTGTCCATCTGGAGTTCAAACTTGGGAGGCCTCGGCCTCCTCAAGTTCCCTTTTCCCTCCCTGCTTCTTTTTGGTCACTGATTTAAAAACCAGAGTAACAGTATTAACTTCTCTTTTTCTACCCCAGACCTCTCCTCCAGCAAAGGGCAGAGGTGGTTAGCCTTACTCTCTCCACCATTCCATGATTAGTTTTGCATTGTCTGTCTTCTTGGCTGGCCTAGCCAGCCTGGGGCTGGTGGGTCTTGTGGTGTAGACTCTCCTGAGGGAGTTTTTTAGGCATGTTCCATTTAGCTCATTACAGACTCAGGTGCCTGCAGGCCAAGAGGAGACCGGAAGAGGAAGGAAGTTGCTTCCAGGCATGACCTCTGCTCTCCCTCATTTGATTTGACTTGGATTGGATAGGTATTCCAGAAACTGTTCAAAAACCAAACCAAATAAACAAACCCAGCATGTATGCCCAGGTGCCAGGTGACCAGGGTCCAGGATGTCATGCCAGTCCTAGGGCAGCCACAGTCTAGATGTGACCATGTCAGAGTGCTGCCATGTACTCTCAACATTTTCCTCTCTTAGGCCCCAAGTCCAGATTTTTATATGAAATTTTATAATTTTTAACTATTGGTAACTAATTTTTTTTTTATGTGCAGGCCAAAGGGGTCACATGGACTTGTGAGGGACCTCAGGCTGGGGGCGGGGGACACTTCTCAGCCTCTGGCCTAAGACCACGTTAGTCTTCTCGCTCAATCTGGCATCTGGTCAAGTCCCTGGTACCTGGTGTGGAAGAAGGCTCTGCCTGCACTAGGGCATGTCTAGGTGGTCTCTCAGCTGGGCACCATGCCATGGGAGTGGGCACTGCCTCTCCCACAGCTTCAGAGCCTGGATCCATCAGGGCACAGGGGGCTCATGAAGAAGGGTGGGCCCCCCCAGCAACCATCTTGTGGAGCAGGGATCCCATGCCCAGCTGTGTGGATTGGCCTGCCGCCCCATTATTCTGTGATAACAGTCCCTGTTCTGGGCTTGTTGGAAACCTGGAATGGCAATAAATCTTTTTAACTTGTTGAGAAGTCCTCCTTTTTCTTGGCTGCATGCTTCATTGGGCACAGCTGGGGTATCAGAGATCGTTTGTGATGGACTGTTTCTGTGGAAGGGTTTTTGTCGGCGATGCAGGGAGCCCAAACATCTGTGGAGGTGGCCTCTCTCGGCGGTCAGATCTCCGCCTCGCTCTGCTTGACTGAGCCCCAGCTTTCTAGGCGTGTTGTCTTCTCAGAACCTCTGGTTTCAGTTTCCTTCAGACTTACTCTGTCTCTTTCTTCCTTTATTTATTTTGGTTTTTTGAGACAGGATCTCACTATGTCCCCCTGGCTGGCCTGGAGCTCCCTACATATACCAGGCTGGCCTCAAACTCACAGAGATTCTCCTGCCTCTGCCTCTGGAGTTCTGGGATTAAAGGCGTGCACCACAGAGCCCAGCTATTTCAATTTTCGTGTGTATGTATGTGCACATATGTATATACATGCATGTGTGTGTCTGTGTGGTCAGAGGACAACCTTGGGTGTCCCACAGGCTCCTTCCACTTTCTGTTGACCTAGAACTTACTGTTGAGGCTAGGTTGGTTGGCCAGCAAGTCCCAGAGAACCCACCTCCCAAGTGTTGGGATTTAAGGCATGTGCCACCACACCCAACTATTTATTAATTTCTTTGATGTATGAAACCTAAAATTGTGCGTATTTATGGGGGGAGGGTCACATAATTTTTTTTTGATACAGTTATGCATTATGTAATGTTCAAATCAGGTTAAATATAATTCCTTAAGTATTTGTCATTTTGCTAGGGTAGTGGCACATGTAAGTCATCCCAGCACTTAAAGAGCAGGATCAGAAGTTCAAGGCCAGTCTTTACCACATAACAAGTTCAGTTCCACACTTGGCTGTATGAGACCCTGTGTCAATACAAGCAAAATGTCATTTTGTTGGTTTTTGAGCCAGGGTCTCATGATGTGACTCTGGCCTAGAATTCACTGTGCAGCACTGACCACTGTCCATTGAATTTCCTCTGCATCCAAGTGTTGGGCTCACAGGTGTGCTCTGCCAAGCCTAGCCCCTCTCTCTCTCTCTCTCTCTCTCTCTCTCTCTCTCTCTCTCTCTCTTTCTTTCTTTCCCTCCATGTTTTAAAAATATGAGTTGGGGGTTGGGGATTTAGCTCAGTGGTAGAGCGCTTGCCTAGCAAGCAGAAGGCCCTGGGTTAGGTCCTCAGCTCTGAAAAAATAAAATAAAATAAAAATATTAATTGTACTTTGGATGATTAATACAGCCACACTGAAGCGGGAGGAAGGAAATAAGTCACTTAAGATACAATATTTGTTGGGTGTAATGACACACTTTTAATCCCAGAGGCAGTTGGAGCCCTGAGTTCCAGGCCAGCCTGGTCTACATAGAGAGTTTCAGGCTAGTCAGGGCTACATAGTGAGACCCTGTCTCAAAAACAAAACAAAACAAAGATACTGTTTTGACAGACTATTACAAAGCTAAGGTAAGAGAAACTGTACAGATACACAGATGTGGGGGTTAGCAAGTTGGAAAGGGTTTTTTCTTGGACAAAGTCTCATTGTGGCTCAGGCTGGCCTGGAGCTCACTCTGTAGCCTAGGCTAGTGTCAAATTCATAATCATCCTACCTCATTCTTTTAAGTGCTAGGATTATAGGTATGTGTCACTACATCCCATAGAAAGTATTTGTATATCATGAATAAGAAAATAAACACATTGTAGAAAATGAGCTTGAGGGAAAGCTCAGTCTTGGACAGAGTAACAGAATGACAATAGAACTGGTTACGTAAGAGCACAGCAGACCCCAGATGAAATGGAATTCCTAAGGAGACGTAGAAGGAGAGGCACAGAGAAAAGACCTGTACTAGGCTGACCTGCAGGAGTAATGTGCAGGCAGGAGCCACGTGAGGAGGTCAACCAGGGAATGAAATACCAAATAGGATTCAGCAAGGTTTAAGAGTCTTCCTAGCAGGTGGTAGCTCACACAATGACCTCAGCTCTAGTGGGAATTTTAAATTCCAGGCTAGCCTGGGCTAAGGTCAAGACCCTGTGTCACAAAAGCCAACACTTCATAAAATGCTCAGTTACGGAAGGTCATGTTACTTCTGTGAGACTGTTCAAAAGTGTGTGATCTCAGTGTCATGGTGAGCAGACAGAGATGGCCAACCAGTGCTCTTCAAGTTGTCCAGGTGATGAGCTAACTATACAGAAAGGTCTAGAAACACATGCAAGAAGGAATAAAGAAATCTGGTGCTGTGTGTGAGATTCTGGTTTGGATGAAGAACAGAAACAGCTTTTCTCCCATGGTCATTACCATCCTGGCCGCTGGGCCTGTGGTTGTGGTGGGTGTTGGCATTAACTGCAGGTAGGTGAAAGTTACAGGCAAACTATTATTTTTGCCTCACTTAAGAAGTTAAAGTTTTTCACAATAAAAGTTGTGAAAATGTCTTGTGGAAATTTCTATTAAAATTAAAAAAACATTTATTTAGGGGCTGGAGAGATGGCTCAGCAGTTAAGAGCACTGGCTGTTCTTGCAGAGGACACGGGTTCAAATCTCAGTACCCACATGACAGCTAACAACTGTAACTCCAGTTCCAGGGGATCTGATGCCCTCTTCTGACCTCTGTGGGCATTGTATGACATGGGTGCACTTAGACATACATGTAGGCAATGCACACATCCACATAAAAATAAAAAATGATAAGATTTAAAAAAGTGTGTGTGTGTGTGTGTGTGTGTGTGTGTGAACTTTTGGGAGCTGGTTCTCTCCTTCCACTGTGGGTTCTGGGGATTGAATTGAGGTGGTCAGTTTTGGTAGCAAGTGCCCTTACCTGCCAAGCCATCTTCACAGGTCATATATTTTTATTTTTTATTTTTTTGGTCTTTTTGAGACAGGGTCACCAGTAGCCCCGGCTGGCCTGGAACTCACTATGTAGACCAGGCTGGCCTTCAACTCAGAGAACTGCCTGCCTCTGCCTCCCCAGTGCTGGGACTACAGGCGTGTGCCACCATGCCTGGCCATTAGCACACACAATATTAGGTTTCATTATGGCATTTTCAAACAAAACTTGTTTTCGTTATATTCCCCCCATCTCTCCCTTCCCCCTCCCTCTTCCTGTACCCCCCCTTCCCCTGTACTTGCTCCACGGCCCCCTGTCCGCTCTCCAGCACATGTGCTCCTTTTCCCTCACTCTTCCTCAGCACCTTACCCTATCATGGTCCCCTTCTAGCTGAAAACCCTCTGCCCACAGAAACCACACATGTCCATCTCCAGAGGAAAAGAGGAACAGAGCTCTGAGCCTGCTCTTGTGTAACTTCAGCACTGGAAGGAGATAACACATCCGTGTTACATACTACAGGCTATGGGACCTGCCTTTGCTCGCTGCCCCATCCTCCATGCAGACTGCAGAGGGAGGTCCTGCTGTCTGCCTCTGCTGTGGATCGGGTACAAGAAGCAAGACTTGACCTTCCCTTTGCCACAGGCGTCTTTGCGACCCAGCGTCTGTTCGTTCCCTGGGGTTGTGAATGCTCCTGACATTTTGTGTGAAGTTCATAGGACTTTTTAAAAGATTATTTTATTTTTAGTTATGTGTGTCTGAGTGGGATTGTACATGTAATTGCAGGTGCTTGCACAGGCCAGAGGCATAGGATGCCCTCGTGAAGCTGGAGTTACAGGTGGTTGTGAGCCGCCTAGTGTGGATGCTTGGAATAGAACTTGCATCCTCTTGGAAGAGCAGGAAGTACTCTTAAATGCTGAGCTATCATGTGAATTTCATGTGAGGAGGGGCCATAGCTTTTGTGGGACCCTTGGAGGCCTATGATTGACTCCTGACCAGCCATAAATCACTGACTTACTGTAACCAGCCTGAACCTCAGACTTGCTGGTGGCTTAGTCAGTCAGCGTGCTTGCTTGCAGAAGTTGAAGCTTCCAGAGGCCACAGTGTTAGCATGCACTCAAGGGCCTCTATGGGCGCAAGACCAGGTCCGTCTCACTGGGATGTCATTTTTGATGCTCCAGATAATGAGGGGCTCATTATAATCTCATTATAATGAAGCCACACACACTGGGTACCAAGAGATGCCTGACCATCCAAAGATTAGAGAAGAGATGGCTCCGTGGTTCCTGGAAATTGCCTTCCCTTCCCTTTTCCACGTTCAGAGATCAACATGTACACCGCACCTTCTCTTAACAGTCCTGGTAAAACTCCAGACTCCCAGAAAAAGGTGTTTTTAGAGTGTGAGCTAACCTCTCATCCTTAATTTTTTTTCTGTTTACTTTAAAATTTGAGATGTGGTCTCATGTAGCCCAGGCTAGCCTTGACTTGCATAACCAAGACTTTTAATTATTTTTTGCGCAGTCTTACTATGTGACCCAGGCTGGCCTCGAAATCCCAATCCTCCTGCCTCAGCCCCGAATGCTTTGGTAACGGGTGCACCACTGCACCTCTATTTCCCTTTCTGTAGTCTTGTTCCCAGAATTGTTTGGTTATTTATGAAAAGTGCTGAGTGAGAAAAGAATCTGTAGACTGAGTAGCATCAGCTCCCTTCTGCTCTGTAGAACAGAATCTGTGGTGTATTAGTGACTTTTCTGTTGCTGTGATTTAAAACAGACTCAAGAAACTTATAGAAGGAAGAATTCATTCAGCTTACAGTTTCAGAGGTATCAGAGTCCAACATGGCGGGGATGCATGGTGGTAGGAGGTGGTGGGGTAGAAAGTGGAGCACTCACATACTGGAGCAGACACAGGAAGCAGAGAGTGACTGGAGATCTGGCCAGGCTTAAGAGCTCTCTAAGCCTGCCCCTAGTGATACGCCTCCTCCAGCAAGGCCACACTGCCTAAAACTTCCCAAAGCAGTTCCACCAAATGTCCAAATACTCGGAGCCTATGGGGGACATTCTCGTTGAAACCATCACTGTAGATAGAGTAGCATCACCTCCATCCCACCGCTCGAGTCGACAGTAAAATGTTCATGTGTTTCTCAGGCTCAGGGTCCAGCAAATATTTTATTATTGGCCTATAGATTTTCATTTTTCCTCCTCCTCCTCTTCTTCTTCCTCTTCTTCCCTCCCTCTCCCTCTCTCTGTCTCTCTCTGTCTCTCTCTCTTTCTGAGGCAGGGGAGTGGGACGTTTCAGACAGGTCTCTTGTAGCCTAGGCTGGCCTCAAGTCATTATGTAGCCACGAATGACCTTGAACTTCTGATCGTCTTTCCACCCCTTTCCAAGTGTCAGGAATACGGGTGTGCCTCACCACAGGGGATTGCCTGTTTTGTTTTTCAGTGCTGGGGATGAAACCCAGGGCCTTGTGCATTTTAGGCCAACGCTATGCTAGTGAGTTGTACTCCTAGCCCAGACAGATCTTGTTTCATTGTGTTTACAGATTCTGCGTTTTTTCCTTTACAGATTGGATCCTGGCACAATCCTGTGTTGAGCAACTCTCTCAGGGCTTCTCGACAGTACCTGTCCACTCTGTGTCCCTGTCACATTTTAGTAATTCTTACATTGTTTCAAATTTTTCTTAAGTATTACTTCTGTTGAGGTCAGTGATCTTTTGAGATTTTATGTGTATGTCTGCATGTGTTTATGCGCATGCAGTGGGTGACTGCAGGCAGGAAGAACTCATCAGATAACCTGGAGCCAGAGTCACAAGACCATGTGAGCCCCTTGATGTGGGTGTAAGGAATGGAGTTCAGGTTCTCTGGAAGAGCAGGAAGTGCTTACCCAGGCTAGGCAACGGCTCTGCCCTGAGCTGTGGCCTACCTTTTATTTTCATTTTTAATTTTTCAAGCCAAGGTCTCACTAAATTGTCCAGGTTGGCCTTGAACTCCCTCTGTGGACCATGCAGGCTTTGAACTCACGATCTCCTGCCTCAGCCTCCCGAGTAGCTGGGATTACTGACCTGCAGCTCTATGGCTCCATGCTTCCCGTGTCTTTAGTCGGCATTTGCTCCTGGATAAGTCACAGATAAATTTATGTATCAGCATTTTGTAATGTCCGGAGGCATGCTGGCTTTTCTGGAAGAATCACTTTATTTAATGTGAGCACAAACTCTTCCTGGTGTTAATCATTGCAAACACAAAAGATGCTTAGGACAAATGCCTAGAATGAAGTCACTAAGTTCAGAGTGCTACATGTGTTAAGACTTAAGTGTTTCAAAACTGTCCTTGAACAAAAAGCTTAACAGTGCTCACTCCCATGTGCAAACACCAGACTGTCTTTTTAAATCCCTTCCTTGAGCTGAATATTATTTTAAAAGTAGGTCAAAGGGGCTGACTCAGAGGTTAAGAGCACTGGCTACTCGTGGAGAACCTGGGTTTGGTTTGTAGCACCCATATGGTGACTAACAACGATCCATAACTCCACTGCCAGGGATCAGGTGCCTTCTTCTGGCCTCCACAGACATTGCATGCATGTGGCACACTTATGTACATGTAGGTAAAGCACTTATACACATAAAACAATAAATAAGTAAAAAAAAATTAAAATCAAGTCAATAATCCTTGCAGATGATAAAATCCTTTTCCCCACAAAAAGAGGGAGATGGGGGGAGAAGAAAGGTAGGGGCCAAGGAGGAGAAAGTGCGGAGGGAGGGGGAAGGGAAGGAAGGAAGGAAGAACAAAGGAAGCCTCCTAGATGGGAAGTTGCATCTTCAAGGTATCAAGAATGTAAGTTTTGGAGTTGAGTGTGGTGGCGCACCCCTTTAATCCAAGTGCTTGGGAGGTAGAGGCAGGCTGATATCTGTGAGTTCGAGGCCAAGTAAGTTCCAGGTCAGCCAAGGCTACATAGTGAGACCCTAGCTCAAAAAACATCCAAAAAATCCTATGAAATAAAGAATGTATGTTTTGGGACTGCAGAGATGGCTCAGTGGTTAAGAACATTTGATGCTCTTGCAGAGGACCTGGGTTCAGTTCCCAACACCCACATCAGATGGCTTACAGCTGCCTATGACTCTGGTTCTGCCCTCTTCTGGACTCCGTGGGGATCTGCACACATGGCACATATACACTCAAGGCACACACATAAATTAATCTTAAAAGAATGTGACACCTAAGGCTTGGAACATCACAGAAGAGAGGCAGGAAGAATGTGAGAGCCTGAGGGGCAACACTACTGTGGCACCCATGACATCTCCAGTGTGGAAGTCTAACAGGGTCCGCATAAGGATGAAACCGGTGACAAGCCAGGGTGGGTGGGGAAGGACTTGGGGTCCCACCTCAATATGAAGAGCTTCAGGCCACCCCTGGATGCTGAGGGAGGGAGACTCAGTTTTCTCCAGGGACTAGCTCCCTGAGAGGGTCTCTCACTCCAAGTGGGCAGCCCTAAACACAGGTGCACAGGAGCACCACTGAACGGACTCAGGTATTGTATGTATGTATGTATGTATGTATGTATGTATGTATGTATGTAACAATAATCAAAGAGGAAGACAGAAGTTGTGAGGGGGTCAGGGGATATGGGAGGAGTTGGGGGGACTGGGATGGAAGACAATACTCATGTATAAAATTCTCAAAAAATAGAAATTTAAAAGAAGAATGCAAGTTTTGCTCAAAGATGGGAATGTAATGGAAAACTACTAAACACATCTGTATACCATATTCTCTTCACATCTCCTTGCTAACGGAACTGGCTGGTGGGAAGCAACGTGCACATGTGCTCACAGGATAAATTCTCATTCCCTTTGCCTGCAGGATGTCAGTGGTGAAAGGATCTTTAATAATCAACTGCTCAGTCCTTCTTTTCACAAACTGGGAAACTAAGACAGGAGAGTGGGGGAAGAACGTTCCCAAGATCCCATAGAAAAGTAGGCTGAGCCAGTGGCTGGACAAAGTTAATGCCAAGCTCTTCCTGATACTCTTCTTAGAACATCTGAAGGGGAATTTCCTTTCCCCAAGCACATCCTTTTCTAAATTGGATGCTTTGAAGGCAGTTTCTGTATATAGAGGAAATAATTGCTTCGCATTTCTGTAATTTTCAGGGCCATCGGGGGTATGTTTTCTATTTTCTTTTTTGTTTTTCCCTTTGGTATGTGCAGTTAGTGTGGGTGTGTATGCATGGATGTACACGTGCGTGTACATGTGCGTGTGTGGAGGCCAGAGGCTGATGTTGGGCACTTTTCCTTCATTGCACTCCACTTTTATTTTTGAGTCAGGGTCTCACTGAACCTAAAGCTCACTGAGCCAGGCGGGTGGCCAGTCAACTTCAGGGATCTGCCTGTTTGCTTACCACCCCCAATCTGGCTTTTTGAGAGCTGATGGTTTGAACAACTGGACTTGATTTTGGTTCCGAGGTTAGAAAGGACTGAAGAAGAAATCCAGGACCAATAAAAGGGGCAGCTTGCGAGGGATCGACCCCAGCCTGTGTCACCCACATGTTGTTAGAAGACAGGGAAGCCAGTGATTAAAATAGATATGCTGGGGTTTGATGAATGTATATAATGGGACTCGAACTAGGGATGGGAGGAAGAGCTGTTAGAATAAAAACAGGCAATTATGTATAGACCCCTATATCATTGGCCACAGAAAAGTGGGCCAACTGGGTCATTTCATAGAGAGCTTGATATGTCCCCAACACACAGCCTAAGAGGCCCAGGATGCTGATGATGTCTTTGACAATGGTCACACAGCTCATGCCCTCTGAGTAGGTGGTGATCTCCAGCAGGGGTGGGATGATGAGGGCCAGGGCACTAGCACCGGGGAGATGACCAGGTCCAGGCGGGGGATGAGGACGGCCAAGAAGCCTGCAGGGAGAGGAGTGTAGGCTGACTGTGTGTCCTTGGAAAGAGGACAAGCATGGTGTTGGAGGGTGTGTGTGCACAGCGGTGTGTGCAGAGTGGAAGCCTGAGAGGACGTGGATGCCCTGCTCTAGCACTGCCTCATCCCTTGAGACAGTCTCCTACCGAACTTGGAGCTAGGCTGGCAGTCATCAAGCCCCAGCCATCCTGCCTCCTGTCTCCACCCCTCAGTGTTGGGGTCACGGGCATGTGAGTGTCCTTTTTCTTTTTTTCCTTTTTGGTCTTTTTGAGACAGGGTCTCCCGTAGCTCCAGCTGTCCTGGAACTCACTATGTAGACCAGGCTGGCCTTGAACTCAGAGAGATACACCTGCCTCTGCCTCCTGAGTGCTGGGATTAAAGGTGTGTGCCACCACGCCCTGCTGAGAATGTCCTGCTTTGCACATGGGTGCTATGGATTCGCACTCCAGCCCTCATGCTTTCACAGCACATGCTCCCACCCGTATTTTAACCCTGAACATAGGTGCTCTCCTTGGCATATTACCCATAGGGTTTTGCACACATCATCTTTATTGGAAGTTCTCTTCAACCATTTTCTCTTACAACCTTCTGTCAGCTTCTGTGCTGTGACAGAAACACTGACTGAAACCAGCTTGGGGAGGAAAAGGTTTATTTGGCTTAAAGCACAGTCCATCATTGAGGGAAGCCAGGCAGGAGCTGGAGCACAGACCATGGAGGAGTGCTGCCAACTGGCTCGCCCCTCTGGCCCGTGCTCAGCCTGCTTTCTTATACAATACAGGACCACCTGCTCAGGGGTGGTACCACCTACAGTGGTCTGGGTCTTCCCACATCACTCAGCAATCAAGAAAATGCCCCACAGATGTCCAATGGAGGACATTCCTCAACTGAGGCGTCCTCCATGCAGGTGAGTCAAGTTGACACTGAAGCTGTCCAGCACAACTGACCCCTTGTCAACTTGACACTCAAACACATCACTATTTACCCATAATTTTTCCATTTCTTGTCCCCAAAATATGTTAATACTAATATTACAATATAAAACAGTACAACTTTAGAAATCCTATAGTCTTTAAAAATTTCAAACACTTTAAACTTCAAAGTCTCTTTAAAAAGTCTCTTAACTGTGTGGCTCCTGTAAAATCCCAAATAAGTTAAATACTGTCTTATTTCAAAAGGGAAGAATTGGGTACACTTAAAACCAAAGTTCGGAAAAGTAGCTCAGGATTGGACATCTGGGATTCACCCAGGATCTTCTGGGCTCCAAGGGGCTTGGGTAGCTCCACTTCTCTGGCTCTGCTGTCCACAGCACACACAGCTTGTCTCATTGGCTCAGGCTGGTTCCAGTCCACACCTGCGGCTGCCCTTGGTTGTTGTCCTGTGGTTCTGGCATCTCCAGTATGCTGGGGTCTCCACCGCAGCTGAGGCTGTACCTTAACCAATGGCCTTTCCTGGCCTCTTATAGTGCCAAGCCTCAGCTGCTCTCTGCGTCCCCTTCCTGCCTTTACAAGTACCATGTAGGAGACTCTTACACATTACCAAGTCCTGCTTCCAGCTTGAGATGGAGTCTCAGAGCCCCTCTGGACCACAGTTTCTGTGTGCAGACCCTGAGGAAATACCTCCCAGAAGATTTCACCATAGTGATGCTGGTCTCTTGTTATTTACAGCTTATTTTCAGCCCAGCTGACCAGCATCAATTGTCCCAGTAAAGCAAAGGTTTTACTTCAGTGGTTCTGGTCCTTGTTAATCACAGCCAATTCTTCAGCCCCAGTTGACCAGAACCCACAGGTTCTCAATTCAAAATATCACACAAACAGCGCTGATAATATGCTTCCCTTGAAACATCACAAGCCAGGCCTCCACCACCCACATTTCTCTTCAGCATAAGTGTTCAAAGCTCCACAGCAATAGCTCACTAAGCTCTCAGCACTCAAGGACTTTTCCAGCCCAAAGTTCCAAAATCTTCCACAATCCTCCCCAAAACAAGATGGTAAGGTCTGTCACACCAATACCCCATGATCTTGGTACCAACTTCTGTATGAGTTTCTTTCTAGTTCTGTGATAAAAACACTGTTCAAAACCAACTTGGGGGAGGAAATGGTTTATTTCACCTTACTCTTACAGTTCATCATGGAGGGAAGACAGGGAAAGAGCTTAGAGCAGGAGCTGGAGCACAGGCCATGGAGGACCTCTGCTCACTGGCTTGCTCCCCTGGCCCCTGCTCAGCCTGCTTTCTTATACAATCCAGGGCCACTTGCCCAGGGGTGGCACCACCCACAGTGGGCTGGGTCCTTCCACATCACTCAACAATCAAAATGCCCCACAGACATGGCCGCAGGTCAGTCCAATGGAGGATTCCTCAATCGAGGTTCCCTCTACGCAGGTGTGTCAAGTTGACAACTGAAGCTGTCCATTACACAAGGGCAGGTAGAGCCCTTGAGGGGAGAGGATGTGCCCAAGGCCACACAGAACTGAGAACCCACTGCTGTCACATACATGCCTTTCCCACTCTACCATGCTGCCTGTCCTGCATGTGAAAGAATTTGGCATACAGCAAGTGCTCAGTACATGTGGGACTCTTACCCAGGCACTGAATCGAGCTTTGAAGTAGCTGTCTAGAATCAAAGATAGAAAAAAGCTATTCTGTTCTGCCCAAATTGCGATGGTTTAGGGGTTAGTAAGGTGAAAGGCTCTTGACCCCAAGCCTGAGTTCCATCCCCAGGACCCACATGGTGGAAGGAGAGAACTGACTCCTGAAAGCTGTCCTCTGACCTCCACCTGTATGCTGTGGCATGCAACAGCCCCACACAGGTACATATGTATACACACAAGAAAAATGTAGTAAAAAATTAAAATGTTTTTCAATATTTCCAATATTTTTTAGACAGGGTCTCATGTAACCCAGACTGGCCTCAAAGTTACTATGTATCCCAGACTAGCCTCGAACTCCTGATCCTCCTACCTCAGCCTCTGGAGTGCTGGGATTACAGATGTGCATCACTATGGCTAGTGATGAAAGAACTGTGAAGGGCTGGAGAGATGGCTTAGTGGTTAAGAACACTGGCCACACTTGCAGAGGACCTGGGTTTGGTTCCCAGCACCACATGGAGACTCACAACCATATGTAACTCCAGTTCTGGGGGATCTGATTCCCTTTTCTGGCCTCTGTAGGCATTGCACACATGTGGTACACTTACATGCAGGCAAAACACACACACATACAAATAATGAAATGAAAAAAGACTTCTGATAAATCAGACACAAACATGACAATGGTAGGCTGCCTGCCCTCTCCCTTCCCTACTATAACCACTCCCAAGTCTCCACATTCTATGTGGACAGTGAACACGTTGGGGCTGGAGAGATGGCTCAGTGGTTAAGAGCACTGGCTGCTCTTGCAGAAAACTTGGGTTGGATTCCCAGTACCCACATGGCAGTTAACAACTGTCTATAACTCCAGTTCCAGGGGATCTGATGCCTTCTTCTGTCTTCCACAGGCACTGCACAACACAGGTGCAGTTACATACATGCAGGCAATACACTCATACATATAAAACATACACTCCAAAGTCTCCACACTCTATGTGGACAGTGAACACATCATAGATTTTCTATAGGAGAAATGTGATGTCTGAATGAGTAAATATGTAATTCATATGATTTAATTTCATATAAACATAATTTTTCTGTGAACAGATTATAGAAAATTTGTTTTGGAAAGCATTCATACAAGCTCACTGGATTTTTTTTCTTTTGCTGTGTTGGGGATAGAACCCAGGACTTCATGTATGCCTGGCAAGTGCTTTACTACTGAGTGAACTAAGCTCGATGGGTCCCTTCCTGAAATTGCTCAGGCATATCTGATAGAGCACAAGAGACTCAGGACCTCACAGTTGGGTCCGCCACCCTCTGATAGCACGGTCCCTGTTCACAGCATCACTTTATAAATCTTTAATAAGCTACTTGGCAGAGGAGGTGCAGAGAAACCCAGCTCCTGCCCTCCTAGTGAGCTCAGGCTCAGAGGATGGAGAGGTGGCATTCAAGGAGCTTGGAGCTTGAATATGTTTGTTCTGGTCATGCCAGCTTCATGCTCAGAACCCTCTCATGGCTCCCTCTTGCCCAAACTCCTTACACCCACTGACGGAGCTGTGGCCAAAGACTCAGTCCCTGCCAAATGCTCTGATCTTCTCTCATCACTCCTTGCTTTTAGTTCTCCAAAGAGACCGTGAGCAGGCCCAGGCTCCGGTCAGTGCACGGGCCTGGCCTCCGGTCAGCTCACGGCCTGGGCCCTGGTCAGTGCACAGCCCCTCCTTACACAGGGTACACACTTCCAATACCGTTGCTTGTCTTTTAGGCTTCAACAGAAACATTCCCCATTGGGAGGCCTCTGGGGCCTCAGCTCAGGCTGAGTCCCAGGACCCTCCTCTGTTCATGGCATGAACTGCCACGTGGCACGTCACATAGTATCTGAACACTTGTCACAGCACATAGCATGGGTTCCTTGCACACACTGCTCATTTGCAAGTGGTGTGAGCAGGGATCACTTCTCCATCCGTTATTCATGGCTGTATTCCTAGAGCTCAGCATACTGTCAGCAGAGAGGAGGCGCCCAACAAGTGACTGCTGAATGAACCAAGGACAATGAATGTGATGTGTGAGTAAAGGGAGAGGAAGTGCTCAGGGTTAGGGTCAGGGCATGTCACAGAGGGTCGCCATCCCTCCTTCCACGATGTGGCATTAGAGGGTTGCTGTCTCTCCTTCCGCTTTTCCTGGTCTGGAGTGGTCAGAACCACTCAGTCTTCCTGTTCATATCACTTGCTTTTTCTTAGGAGTGATTTCAAAACAGCACCTTGCAGACTGATAGTGTCTTGGTTCAGAATAGAAGCCCTGACGCCTTCAGCTAAGCAGAGTACTGTGTCTGTAGAACTCTGGATGTTCCAGGGTTCCTGATGGAGCTCTTGCCTAGCATGCTTAAAGCCTTGGGTTCCATCCTCAGCAGTCATGTGCCTGGTGGCACTTGGGAGATGGAGGCCAGAGGATCAGAAGTTCAGCCAGGTGTGTTGGTGCTCTTGGAAGGCAGAGGCAGGTGGGTCTCTGTGAGATTGAAGACAGCCTGGACTATATTGTGAGTTCAAAGGCCAGCTGGGGCTACAGGGAGACCCTGTCTCAAAACAACAACAAACAAACAAACAAAAAAGAATTTCAAGGTCATCTTAGACTCCAGAGTGAGTTTGAGGGCAGCTTGGGTTATGCAAGACTGTCTCAAAAACAAAACCAAACCAAAACAAAAACTCTGGTGATGTTAGGCCCGTATTCTGGTTACACATGTTGTGGAATCGAAGAGCTCCAAGAACTACAGTTCCTCCTGACACTTGAGGACACTTGACTGCCTCAGCTTTGAGCTCCAACTCCTGGAACCTTTTAAGACTAGAGAGTTCTCAAGTTGACAAGATGGCTCAGTGGAGTGGGGTATGGTAGCACATGCCTTTAATCCCAACATTTGGGAGGCAGAGGATCTCTGTGAGATTGAGGCTTGCCTGGTCTACATAGTGAGTTCCAGGCCAGCTAGAACTACGGGAAGACCCTGTATTGCTGCCCCCCACCTAAAGAAGCCCCCCCTCAACAAAGAAAAATGATGGCAATAAAAAAATGTTTGCAGCCAAGTCCGATGACCTAGGTCCAATGCCCAGAACCCATGGTGGCAGGAGAGAACCAACATCTGAAAGTTGTCCTCAGACCTGCATGCACACTTGTGTGCCCTCACACACACACACACACACACACACACACACACACGCACGCACACAGTTCTCCTCTACCTTACACAATGGTCAAATACAGAAAGCCTCTGAGCCCCCCCTTCTCCAGGTAAAACACCTCCAGTTGCTCTTCCCTCATGGGCATCTTCTGACCTTCTCTCCTAGAATGTTCCGGAGAAATGGCTGCCTAGCCCGGTTCCTGGTGCTTCCTGAACACAACACTTAGTGAACAAACAGGTAGGAGAATGGAGATGGGGAGGGGCGTGAGCCCTAAAAGGATCCCCAGGTCTTTAACAATCCTTTGGGGGTCACTTTATGATGGGAGACTTGACCGTAACGAATGGAAGGAACACAGCATGGGACAAGCAGGCTTTGCTCATGGTCGACTCCTACCGGTTCCAGACCAGTGCAATGTGGGGATGACATTTAATTTCTCTGGGCCATGGCTCTCTCAGTTGTTGACACCGCTGGGTTGGGGTATTGGACATGTCAGGTAGGAGGCTGACCAAACAAAGGCTACAGCCCTCTCCTGTGACTCAGCCAGTACTCACTCTACATGTGCTGTGGGGGGATGCAGACTTCCCCCTGGGAGAATCAGCCAGTGCTCACTCTACATGTGCTGTGGGGGGATGCAGACTTTCCCCCTGGGAGAGTTTGCTAAGGCCAGTTTTTAGGTGGGAAGTCAAAGAAAAAGGGGGCAAGCATCTTGCTCTGGATCCCAAAGGCAAGTGGCAGGCACCGGACTGGGGTGTGACACATGTCATAAGTCTGAGCAAAAAAAGTGTCCTCTGTCTCCTACTCACAGGTCAGGCAGACCAGGGAGGTGGGTGTAGTCAGGTCTGCAAACAGTGTCCAGTCCTCCGACATGTGGGAGATGATGAAGGGGAGGATGATTTCAGCTGGGACCTGAAACTGGAGGGCGTAGGTGAAGAAGATGCCAATGGAGTACATCAGCTTGACCGACTGGTACGGCCTGCAGACAGAGCATCGAGAGGATTTGAGATGCTACAGGGTCCCTGAGAAGATGCTCTACGTGGCCTTGAGTTATCACTGGTTGGCAGTCAGGGACTTGGGCCAGACTGGCTCAGAGCAGAGGAAGGAGCCTATGAAAATGCGCATTCCTGGAGGTCCTGAGGCCATAGGGCTGAAGAATCTAAAGAGATCATATCTGAGCACGCCTTTGATCCCAGCAACTGGCAAGCAGAGGCAGGTGGATCTCTGTGAGATTGAGGCCAGCCTGGTCTACCTAGCAAGTTTCAGGACAGATGGGGATACAGGGGGTTCCTTGTCTATAAAAGGTCATATCTGCATATGGTATGAATCGTAGTATAAAACCATACAATAAAGTCCCTCTTCCCTATCCCTGATTCGGTCTCCAGTTCCCGAGTTTTCTAGTTGTTCTCCAGAAATAATCTGTGATAGAGCATCTTATTTATAATTTTATTTTTTATTTTCTCTGTGTACAGGATATGTGTATGCGTGTGTAAGATGTGTTTGAGTGTGGGTGTGCTTGTGTCATGGTGCACATGTAGAGGTCAGAGTGTGATCTGGGTGTCATCCCTCACCTCCCGCCTCCTCTTGTGTGCCACCACTGGGTAGACCAGGCTCGCTACACTCTGGGGACTATCCTCTCTCCTGTCTCTGCTTCCCTTCTTGCCACAGGAGTGCTGGGATAACAGGCGTGCACTGCTGCACCTAGCCTTTACATGGCTTTTGTAACTCAGATCCTCACATCTTCACGGCAAGTGCTTTACCTACAGAGCCATCTCCCCAGCCCTGTACATACAATCCTAAATAGAAACTAAGGACCCACACATGAACCCACATGTCCTAGTGAGCCTTCTTTTGCTAGATAAGACACTCTGACCAAAACCAACTTGGGTAGGAAAGGGTTTACTTGGCTTACAGCACAGTTCATCACCAAGGGAAGCCAAGGTAGGAGCTCGGGGCGGGAACTTGGAGCACAGACCATGGAGGAACGATGATTACTGACCTGCTCTCCTGGCCTGTGCTCAGCCTGCTTTCTTGTACAACCTAGGACCACCTGCCTAGGGGTAGCACTGCCCACAGTGGGCTGGGCCCTCCCACATCACTCAACAATCAAGAAAATGCCTCACAGACACAGCCACAGGCCAGTGAAATGGAGGAAATGCTTCAATTAAGGATCCCACTTCCCAGGTGTGTCAAGTTGATGGCTGAAGCTTGGCCAGGACACCACAGATGCATGGTGGGACATATCTACATAGCTCTATGAACTGTTAATCTTTGTTATTTCATCAAATATAAAGCTGACTATGGTGGCACATGCCTGAAATCCCAGCACTCGGGAGGCAGAGGCAGGAGGATTGCCTCAGGTTCAAGGCCAGCCTGGTATAGGTAGTGAGTTCCAGGCCAACAAAGGCTATATAGTGAGATCCTGTCCCAACAAACAAACAAAGATGTTTCTTTAAAAATTTTCCCTATTGATACACCAGTTAATGGGATATTTAGATTATTTTCAGAGTGTTGCCAAGAAAACAACGCAGCAAAGTATACGTTATCTGCGTAGCTCAGCACCCAGGTGCACACCTCCATATCCCTCATCCACATAGCTTACATTGTTTACAACTCCAGGGGCAAAAATGCTAAAAAGTATATGTGACTTAAAAAAATTTACTTATATTTTATGTGCACGAGTCTTGCCTGCATGTATGTACGTGCACTCATGTTGTATAGTGCCTTTGGAAGCCAGAAGAAGGCATCAGATTCCCTGGAACTGGAGGACGCATGGTTGTTATCCACCATGTGGCTGCTGGGAACTGAATCTGAGTCTTCTGTAAAAGCAGCTGGTGCTCTTAGCCACTGAGCCATATCTCCAGTCCAAAATAGGTGATTTTAATATTAATTTAAAAATTTTATTTTTTATGTAGGAGTGTTTTGGCTGTATGTATGTAAGTGCACCGTGTGTATGTGATGCCTGCAGAGGCCAGAAAAGGGTGTTGGATCCCCTGGAATTGTACTTATGGATGGTTGTTAGCCACTGTGTAGGTGCTGGGTACTGAACCCAAACTCGGTCCACTATAAGAGCAGCCAGTGCTCTTGAGATGGCTACTGAGCCGTCTCTCCAACCCAATATACATGACTTTAATACTTTTTATGACACAGGGTCTCACTCCATGTCCCAGGCTGGCCTCAAAGTTGATACGCAGCCGAGAATGATCTTGAACTTCTGATTCTCCTGTCTCCATCTCCTGAGTTTGGGATTGGTGGCATGGGTTACCGTGCCTAGTTTATACAGTGCTATTGATCAAACCCAGGGCCTCGTGTGTGCCAGGCAAGCACTCTACCAAGTGAGCTATGTACTCAGCCCCCAGCTGTGATTTAAGATTTGATGCCTGCTGACATTTTTACCCTCTTGTTCCAGCATATGAAAGTCTCTATCTGCCAAAACAGTGTTCGTCTCTGACATTACGTTTCTTGGTTTTTGTTTTGCTCTGTGTCTGTGTTCCTGCCTATGCAGATACATGTGTGTACACCTGCACATGTGTGCAGCTGTGTAGAAGCCAGAGCTCAGCCTTGGGTGTCACCTTTTTTTTTTTTTTTTTTTTTGGCACAGGAGCTCTCACTGGGACCCATGGCTCTCTGGCGTGGTTATGCCCACTGGCCAGCAGGCTCCAGGGACCTACCTGTCTCTCCCTCCCCAGGGCTGGATTACAGGAGGGCTGGAGAGCCAACTCAGCTCGTTGGTTGGTTGGTTGGTTGGTTGGTTGATTGATTTATTGATTGATTGATTGATTGATTGATTGATTGAGACAGGGTCTCCCTGTAGCCCCAGCTGGCCTGGAACTCACTATGTAGACCAGGCTGGCCTTGAACTCACAGAGATCCGCCTGCCTCTGCCTCCCGAGTGCTGGGACTAAAGGTGTATGCCATCATGCCCGGCCATATTTTTAAAATATAGTCTTTTCTACTTCTTGGAGGACCTTTTCATGTATAAAATGCCATTTTATTGCCTATCAACTGTTTAACCTTTTTTTTTTCTTCTTCTTGAGTTTTTAGGTACAGGATGAAGAGTTGAGTCTGATGAGCAGTCAGGTCACAAAAGCTGGTTCACACCAGGCTTTCAATCTCACGGGAAAAAGCAAGCAGGAGCTCACTGCCCAGTCTTTGCCAGGATAAACGAAGCCCAATTAGCCTGAGTAAGACCAGCATATTATGATAAAATCTTACTTGTGTAAAGTCAAGCACAACTTCAAAGAAATTCCACATGAATGACCTCATGTGGTCATTAGCAGGGCGCAGTGAGGAGGGCGAGGCTGACATTTTTCCCTCCTTATTTTACTGCTCTGGATTTGTGGAAAACGAATGCTTCTCACACCCCACCCACCCTGAAAGCCCAAAGCTAGGGACTCCAAACAAAGCTAATGGTTGATCCTCCACCAGTGCTTACCGCATGCCAAGCACTTTTCCAAGCATCTTCTGTATATTAAAGCAATTACTGCTCACAGTCACTCTACCAGGGAGTGCGGTAGCTACTTGTGCTGTTCACCAAAGGCTTCTAGGCCCTTCCCTGCCCTGTGGAGCACCTGGAGGGGAAGCCTGACCGGGGAGTGCTGCCTGTCAAGCCTCACCAGCTGGGGGGTAGGGCATATGGGAGTCAATGGCTCTTTGCCATGGCAACCAGAAACACCCTAGAGCATGGCTGCTCCATCAGAGAACCTCTGCCATCCCATAATGGGCTGGTGTGGTGAGCAAAGGGTTCAGTACTTGTGTGACAGCCACTGAGATCCATCAGGACCCAAGCATCATGTATCCTGCCCTAACTGATACATGGAGGCACGAGGCACAGGTAGGGACCCCCCCAACCCCCGTTGAGAGGGTGGAAGTGAGGCTTGCCCACAACCACGCAGACCAGGATGCAGGTCTCATTAATGCATTAGAACATGTGCTTAGTCACGAGGTACAACCGCCTCTAGAGAGCAGCTGACACTTGACGCATGCATGTTAGGAGCCCACCTCCAGAAGTTTCCTGGATGGATGGATTTAAAAAAATGATCGAAGGCATTCCAGTCCAAGCAGCAGTCCACCTGTGGGACTCCAATCATTACTTAGAGTTACATGTCAAAAACTTTTATCTTCTTTATTTTAGCAAGACATGGTGGTGCATGCCTATAATCCTAGCACTTGGTGTGGAAGCAGGTTGGATTGGGAAGTGAAGGCTAGCTTTGGCTACATAGCAAATTTGAGGCCAGCCTGGACTACACAAGACCCTATCTCAAAACAAAAATTATTATTGTTGTTTTGTTGCTGCTGTGTGTTTGCTGGGCATCCAACTGAGGATGCCCCTCACTCTGAAGCACGGCACTGAACAGCCCCACGCTGCTTATCTTAGGGCCTTTGCACTTTAGGGTCCAACTTGACTCCAGTCTGCTAGACAGTGTGAGCTGGGAAGGTCCTTGAGAGCTTCTCTCTAATGTCAACATCCTCATTTGTTCAGTGGCATCCATAATAATAATGCTTAAGGCCACTGTGAGAAAGTAGGTGAGAGAGACTGTGCACAGTGCCCAGACCATCAAGCTTACGTATTATTACAGTCAACACCAATGTCAACGGCTCACTTCTGCTGCTAAGGCTTACTAACCCCACATACCCTCTCTGCCACTGAGGCTCATGTCCTCTGCCTTCCTGCCCCACTCCAGGCTGGCAGGCTCCTACCAGCAATTGGGCAAATTGAGGGTGATGTTGGCCTGAGTGTTTGATCCAAACTTTATGTAGCCCAGGGTCCCCAAGCAGATGTAGAGGAAGATGATGAAGGGCATCCCCAGGTACAGGATGATGGGAAACTGCTGTGGATTCTCTGTCTGGTTTTTGAGAGGCAGGACCTGGAGGAAAGGAAGGTGTAGGTTCCCCTAGAGGGACAGGCATCCTTCTCCTGGTAGAGGGAGTCAGGAGAGACTGCTCCAGAGACACACCCCTCCACAAACTACACCCTTCCACATGGCCACCCCCCCCAGGGTCCCACCCCTCCACATGACCACACCCCACAAAGCCACACCCCTCCACATGGCCACACCCCTCCACAAGGTCTCACCCCTCCACATGGCCACACCCCTCCACATGGCCACACCCTTCCACAAGGTCCCACCCCTCCACATGGCCACACCCTTCCACAAGGCCACACCCCTCCACATGGTCCCACCCCTCCACATGGTCACACCCTTCCACATGGCCACACCCTTCCACATGGCCACACTACACATATAAATAAATAAATAAATAATAAACATTTTAAAAAAGTTAAAAAAGTGACTCAATTATTTTGAGAGAGTCTCATGAAGCCCAGCTCTGTAAGACCCTGAGGATGACCTTGAACTCCTGATTCTCCCGCCTTTACTTCCCGAGTGCTGGGATTACAGGTGTGCACAACTGTGCTGGTTTGTACCGTGCTGGGGATCAAACCTAGGCTTCATGCATGCTAGCCGAGCATTCTACTAACTGAGATACACTGTCTGGTTTATTTACATTTATCGAGGCAAAGTAACACCAAACTTTCATTAAACCGTTTTAACCTCTGAGTATATTTGCTCTGTGACGCACACATCAGAACAACTCTTCATCTCCAGAACCTTCTCATCAACCCAAACCAAAACTCTCATTAAATAATAATCCCGATGTCTTGCCTGGTAGAAACCCTATTTATACTCTGTCTATATAAATCTGACTGCTGTAAGTACCTCATATAAGGGGAATCTTAGAATACTTCGCTTTTGTATCTAGCCTATTTCACTTAATGTCTTTTTTTTTTTTTTTTTTTTTTTTTTTTTTTGTCTTTTTGAGACGGGGTCTCCCTGTAGTCCCAGCTGACCTGAACTCACTAGGTAGACCAGGCTGGCCTTGAACTCACAGAGATCTGCCTGCCTCTGCCTCCGAGTGCTGGGACTGAAGGTGTGCGCCACCACGCCCGGCTCACTTAATTTTTTTAAAAAAGATTTGTTTTATTTATTTTCTCTGTATGTGTGTGTGTGCCTGTGTACATATGAATACCACATTAGTACAATGCCCACACATGTTAGAAGAGGGCATCAGATCCCCTGAAACTGGAGTTGCAGGCAGTTGTGAGCACCTGGTGTGGGTGCTGGGAATTGAACCTGGGTCCTCTGAAGGAGCCAGTGCTGTTAACCACTGTTATCTCTCCAGCTCTAGCTTAATGTCTTCGAGGCTCATGCAAGTTGTAGCATCTGCTAGAATCTTATTCCTGTGGCTGGAGAGATGGCTCAGAAGAGCTCTGATTGCCCTTCCTGAAGACTTGAGATCAGTTCCCAGCACCCACAAAAGCAGCTCACAACTGCCTGTAACTGCAGCTCCAGGGGATCTAATGCCCTCTTCTGGCCTGGAGGGCATCTGTAGGAATGTGAGAATACACACACAGACATACACACATGTACAGAAATAAAAATAAATGTAAAAAATAAGGAAGCTTCTTGCTTTCAATGCTAAGGAATATTCTGATATATATATATATGTGTGTGTGTGTGTGTGTGTGTGTGTGTGTGTGTGTGTGTGTGTGTAGTTTGTTTGCCCATCCATCAGTCAGCAGACGCAGTGGTCTCCACCTGTAGGCTACGTGAGCTCTCTCCCATCTTTGTGCGGAGAAGGCAGGATAGAGGAAGAATGGAATTTCCTGAGGCTACTCTACAAGCCTGGCTATGGATGCTTGTCCTGTTTTCCAAACTCTAACACCCCTTTCCCATCACCCCTCTCAGCGCTGTGCAGTCTGTCAGCTGGTACCACAGCTGCCATAGATTCAGGGCAAGGATTATTTATTTATTTGAAACAGCGTTTCATATAAGCTCAGGTTGGTCTCAGACTCACTGGGTAGTCAAGGAGGGGACAATAGCATTTTTTTAATTTTTTAAAAGATGTATTAGAGAGAGAGAGAGAGAGAGAGAGAGAGAGAGAGAGAGAGAGAGAGAGAGAGATGCAGGCACCTACAGAGGTCAGAAGAGGGCATCACACCCCCCAAAGCTGGAGTTATAGATGGTTGTTAGCCACCTGATGTGGGTGCTGGAAGTGAACCCAGGTCTTCTGCAAGAGCAGCCAGCACTAACTGCTGAGCCACCTCTGTAGTCCCATGGGGAGTGATTATTTCAGTCAACATCTGTGGTGGGTAGGATAATGGCTTCCCACAGGGTCCACATCTCAATCCCAGGAGTCTGTGAATATATTCTGTTATGTGGCCAAGGAATTCATTTTATCTTTTGAGGTAGGGTCTTGCTATGTAGCTCAGGCAATCTTCCTGTCTTAACCTCCCAAGGGCTAGAATTACAGGTGCATGCCACCACGCCTGGCAAGAGAATTAAGTTTTCAGGTTGAATTCAGGTTCCCCACAGCCGTCAGTTGCTAATAGTTCCTCAGGGAGGGTTGAGGTTTCTTTCCCACTTACCCATGTCTATGTTGGGATTTTGTCTGGCTTGAGTTTACATGGAATTTGTGTGTGCTGTCCCAGTGGCTGTGAGTTCATATGAGTAACTGACCAGCTGACTGGAAACTCTGTTTCCTGTGGTCATCTATCTCCTTTGGTTCTTACAATCTTTCTGGCCCCTCTTCTGAAATGATCCCTGAGCCTTGGGAAGCAGAAGTTTGATAGGTGTCCTACTCAGGTATGAGCACTCTGTGGCCTCTTAATCTCTGTACATTGGCCAGTTGCAGGTCTCTGGATTAATCATCTGCTGCATAAGGGAGCTTCTCTAATGAGAGTTTAGAGACACATTAATCAAGGCAGATCTGGGATCTGGGGGTCCACAAGGGTCCTAAGCAGAGCAGAGATGGCAGGTGTACAGAAGTGTGGGCAAGGGCGAAATTTGTACCGTTTTAAAGAGATGTAGCTTTGTTTGTACGGTGCTTGCCTAGCATGCATGGAGTTGATCCCAAGCAGTGCATCAATTCAAGCATGATGGTGCATGCCTGTGATCTGGGCACTTGGGAGGTGGAGGCAGGAGGATCAGAGGTTCAAGGCCATCCTCTGATATTTAGGGAGTTTGGAGTCAGCCTAGGATACCTAAAACCCTGTCTCAGGATAAACACCTTGAAAAGCAAACCAAACCGAAACTAGAAACGACCGAAACAATTTGATGGGCTGTATCTCAGTTGGTAGAGCGCTTGCCCATTGTGCAGGATGCCCTGGGTACAACCCCAGCAGTGCATGAATACATCGGGTGTCATGGCTCACACCTGTATAATCTTAGCACTCAGGAAGTATGGAGGCAGGAGGATCGGAAGTTCAAGGCCATCCTCAGGTATAAAGCAAGCTTGAGGTCAGCCTTATTGCAAACTCCTATTTGTTACATTGTTTCAGATGAACAGATTTGTGGTCACTCATAGAAGCCAACAGGAAACAAAGATAATCCCAGATTTACACTCAAAGAAACAGTTATGATGGTGGAACTTCAGCACCAGTGAGGGCACTAAAGGGGCTCAGGAGGTAAACTGACTGGACTGATCAGAAAAACCAACCTCTGCTCCTCGGTTTCTGTGTCTGGAAACTGGGTAGACATAGCAGTTCTGTAATTACATTATTGTGAAGTTTCAGTAAGTTATGTCGCGTCCTTGGCATCAAATAACCAAATACCTTAACGTGTGTATCTCTTTTTTTGAGACAGGGTCTCCCTGTAGCCCCAGCTGGCCTGGAGCTCCCCCAGGCTGGCCTTGAACTCACAGAGATCCTCCTGCCTCTGCCTCTGAGTGCTGGGATTAAAGGTGTGGACCACCATGCCTGGCTCATATCTCTTTCCACCTACCAGTGCTATATATATTGTGTGTGAGCATGAGGCATGTGCATCTGTGGTATATGCATGTGCATGTATACACCCATGCATATGCATGTGGAGGCCAGAAACCATCAGGTGTCTGCTTCTCTCCACCAAGGTTTTGACAGTCTCCCATTGAACCTGGAGCTCACTGCTTCAGGTAGACTGGCTGGCCAGTGATCCCCGTTCTTCCTGTCTTCACTCTCCCAGCCCTGGGGTTACAGATATGCTCCCCAGAGTTTGGCTTTCACATGGGTGCTGGAGAGCTGAACTCCGGTCCTCATGCTTGGGCAGCAACCACTTTACCCACTGAGCTACCTCTCCAGAGATGTCCACTGTGACATTTTTTTCTTTTTAAAAAATTTGCCTTTAAAAGGAATTTGTTATTACATAGTACTCATGGAGATGTCAGATCCCCTGGAGTTGGAGTTATAGGTATTTATGAGCCTGATGTGGGTGCTGGGAACTGAACTCAGGTCCTTTGATAGAGCAGCAAGTGCTCTTAAGTGCTGAGCCATCTCCCCATCATCTCCCCATGATATTTCTTGTTGGCTATTCTGTTGGGCCAATGTTAGTCTCCCCAGGAGAGCGTGACACCATCCCTAGGTGCTGTTACCCAGCACCGAGTCCTCAGCCCCTTGCAAGATGCCTGGCTCATAGAAGCCATTCAGTAACTGAATTGCAGGGTGACACAGTGTGACCTGAGATCATGATGGTCGTGAAGAGGGTGTTGGCGATGATGATGCCTCTCTTTTATGTCTTGTGGGACAGAAACATTCCTAAATGATGCCTAGGCTCTGAGCAAGGGACCGCCTGCCTCACCTTCACCTGCCCACGGTGTCTTAAATCCCCTAGTGTCTCAGAGGCTCTGGAACCCTCCCCACCCCCTGCCCCCCTTGTGTGGTTTCAGTCACAGACCTGGATGAGATACTGGAACATCAGAGCCAGGCTGCCCAGGGTGGTGATGCTGGCCACAGCGGAGAAGATGGACAGCACTCAGGGGCTCTGGATGAGCACCAGTGGGACCAGGAAGGGCAGGATCATCAGCATATAGAAAAGTGTGTCTAGGACATGAGTCAGCACCAGGGCCTTCCTGGGCTGGCAGGTGTTCGAGGTGGACTGGGGTTCTACGATCTGCAGAAGGGCAGAGAAAGGCCGGGGATTAACTGGGAAGCACTGGGAGGTGGGTTCAGACTTTAGCTCAGCAAGCAATGTTTTATATACATAGGAAAAGATTTAATCAGTATTCATCTGAAATTCCAGCTTAACTGGGTATTGTGTGTTCGTGTGTGTGCATGTGCACATGTGTGTTTTTGTGAGTGTGGAGGCCAGCACCTTGGTATTGTTCCTCAGCTTTGTCTCCCTTGTTTTTGAGACAGGGTCTCTCATTAGCCTGGCAGCTGTCAATCATGCTAAGCTGGCCAGCCAGAGTCCCAGGTGACCGAACACCTGTTTCTGCCTCCTCATTGCTGGGATGACAAGTGTGCCTTACCATACCATGTCGGGTTTTTTTGTCGTTGTTGTTTTGTTTTGTTTTGTTTTTTTGTTTTGTTTTGTTTTGTTTTTTTGAGACAAGGTCTGACTATGTAGCCCTGGCTGACCTGGAACTAACTATGTAGGTTAGGTTAGCCTTGAACTTAGTGATCTGCCTGCCTCTGCCTCCAAGGCCTAAACCACAAGCCTGGCCCTGTTTCCAGCTTTGCGATACATAGATTCTAGGGGACTGAACTCAGGTCTTTGGGTTTGCCTTGCAAGCACACTAACTGAGCTATCCTCTAACCCTCTCCCTGCCTTTTTGAGACAGGTCTCATGTAGTTCAGGCTGGCCCTAAACTTGCTATGTAGCCAAGGTTGACCTTGAACTTCTGATCTCCCTGTTTCTGCCTCCCAAGTTCTGGGATTACAGATATGAATCTCCACGTCTGGTTTTGGGTGTCCTGTATTTTTATTCTGCAAGCTTAGCCCCCTTAACCATAGTGACTGTGAAAATCGTAGACTCTTGGCATTACGAAACTCAAAGATCCAGTGGTCCTTTTGTCAGACAGACGAGCTCTTCTTCCCTACAAAGTGGTGACTGCCCCTCATACGACTAGAGAAAGGGCATTAATGACACAGCCTACCGTCTTTAGACCTGGCCACCAAAGCTGGGCAGTTCTGACAGTTGAGCAATGTGTCTTTCTGGCTGGGTGTGCCACCCATTGTGCTCCTGTATCCCACAAAGCCCGCAGGGAACGCTCTGACCAGCTGGCTATGTGCATGAGGAACAAGATGAGGGAGGTGACGGCTTGTCAGATATCTTGATGTGACAGCCGGAGATGCCTAAATTTCATCCGGCTTCCCACCTGGACCTCTCAGAGTGTGTCTCTAGTCTAATCTGGGGCACAGACTCAAGAGCTCTTCTCTTGCCATGGCCATGCAGCCCAGAGGTGGAGGTCACCTCCCCCCACTTTGCTAGAAGGGCCTTCTTCACCTGCTGTGAATTGTCCACCGTGAACATGAAGGATGTGCTGCAGAAGCCCAGCAGCGTGATCAGCAGGAAGCTCATGGTGTACCTGGGGGAGAACAGAAGCACAGCCGGGGGCAGGGTGAAGCTACCCTGTGGAATGCTTAAGTTTTGAAACAATTATTTCTCATGATTTAATTTTTTTTGCCCTGGATTTTGAAAATTCCAAATCCTCAGAAAAGCTTGATAGTGTAGTATTAATGTCCATCAACTCTGTTTTTTTCTTTTTGAGATAGAGTTTCATGCAACCCACACATTACACTCCTGTGTGACCCAGAGCGACTTGCTTGCCTTCTCTGAGCTGAATAATTTTCCATCTCAGCAGGTGTGGATAGAGTGATCTCCAAGGGCTGTTCCTGGCCTACATATTTACTTACGATGTCATCAGAAATGGATCCTGACCCCACCCATATGATAATTAGAATTCCTTATCAGGAGATCAGTGCTCAATTGAGGAGCCCACCTCAGGTGGAATGGAGGGGACTGTGGCTGCCATCATGCTGATCACCGCCTGGAGAATTGTGGGGGATGGTCCCATAGGAGGTTCCTGGGAGAGTCTCTGTTCCAACACTGTCAATGTATGTGCCTTTGGGTATGCCATTTTAGCTCTAGAGCCCTGGTCACCCCATTTTTCCTGGGTAATGGAATCCCACACAAGGCTGGCGAGATGATCAGAGATGCTAAATCAGAAAAGCATTTTGTACACTATGAACTTGTATGTGTGTGCATATGTGTATGTGTGTGTGTGTGTCTGTGTGTCTGTGTGTAACTGTGTATGTACATGCATGTGCATGTGTGTGTGTGGTGCTGGAGATCAAACCCTGGGCCTTGGGCTGTTCTGCTGAGATATATCCCTAGCTTTTTTTAAACCTTGGGACAGAGTTCTCCCTACATCCCCCAGGCTATCTGTGAATTCATTTTGTGGCCCAGGCAGGTCTTGAACTCCCAACCTTTCTGCCTCGGCCTTCTGAGGAGGTGGTTGTCCTCAGCTCCTTCCTGCTGCTGCGATAAAACTGACCAAGGGCAACTTAGGAGAAGAAAGGGTTTATTTCATCTTACGCTTCCAGGCCACAGTCCATCACTGGGGGAAGTCAGGGCAGGGCTCAAGGCAGGAGCCTGAAGCGGACGCCATGGAGGATGTTGCTTGCTGGCTCCCTCTCTGGTCCACTCACAGGTCTCTGGGGACCACCATGCCTGGCTCATTTTTTTAAAAAAGTTCTTATTTAATTTATGTGTATGAGTGTATTGCTTGCATATGTGTAAGTGCACCCATGTCATGCAATGCCTGTGAAGGTCAGAAGAGGGCATTGGATTGCCTGGAACTGGAGTTACAGACAGTTGTTAGCTGTCATATGGGTGCGGGGAACCGAACCCAGGTCCTCTACAAAAGCAGCCAGTGGGATCTCAGCAGACTATCAGAGAGTGCTGAGTTCTGTCTTCCCTCTGGCAGAGGACCTGAGAATGCAGGGGATTGCCTGACAGTCCCTGGATCCTGCCTCCATGTGATGGTGAGCTTCCCCTAATTTCACCATACCCATCCCCCTACCTAGGATTTTTGTGAGGCCCATCCCAAGGCCCCAGGGCAGATCTGGCTTTGGTAGCCTAAGGCTGAGATCCTAGCAGGCAGCCTGAGAGGGTGGGTTCCAACCTCCATAGGTGTAGTGGCTCTGATCTCAGCAGACTGCCAGAGAGTGCTGAGTTCTGGCTCCCTCTGGCCTCCCTTTGGCATAGGACCTGAGAACACAGGGGACTGCCTGAGAGTGCCTGGATCCTGCCTCCACATGGTGAAGGAAGCCCGAGTGTACCTGACTGGAACCTGACTTGGGCTTCTGTGGGTACTTCTGAATAGCTGATCTGAAGCCATCAGTTCCTTCCAAATTAAACCTGAGAGAACCTGAACCCTGTACCAACAAGCTTTACATACCAATAAAGAAAGGATCTAGGCACCCCGATAACACAAACAGAAGCATACTTCAACTTAATTTTCATATCAGAATCATAAACAACAAAAGAAATTCACATGCCAAAATCACAACAAAGGAATAATAAAATGTAAACCCAAAACACTATGTCCCCACCAAACCACCAATCCTGTAGAAGAGTTCTACAAGAACCCCCTAGAGATAACCCAGGACACTGAATTTAAAGGAACAGTCATGGGGCTGGAGAGATGGCTCAGTGGTTAAGAGCACTATCTGCTCTTGCAGAGGACCCACGTTCAATTTCCAGGACCCACATGGCAGCTATGAACCATCCTTAATTCCAGTTATAGGGGAATCTGAAGCCCTCTTCTGTAGAAGAGTTCTACAAGAACCCCCTAGAGATAACCCAGGACACTGAATTTAAAGGAACAGTCATGGGGCTGGAGAGATGGCTCAGTGGTTAAGAGCACTATCTGCTCTTGCAGAGGACCCACGTTCAATTTCCAGGACCCACATGGCAGCTATGAACCATCCTTAATTCCAGTTATAGGGGAATCTGAAGCCCTCTTCTTCTTCGTTTCAGCATTGCATGACACGGGTGCGCTCACATACATACAGGCAATAAACTCACACACATAAAATAAAAATAATCAATATATTTTTTTTTTTAAAAAAAGAGGACTGGAGATGTAGCTCAGG